CGGCTGTTGATTCCCCATGTCACTAAAGTGACCTCCCATCACTCACTAATCGACACTTATCAGGCAGAGGGTAACCCAGTCTCCAACTCACCCCTCATCATCATCATAAGCCACATTCTCACTAAATGCCTATTCTACCCTTGGCGTCCTCTATAAATACATACGCCATTCGCCACGAAAAGATGTTGGATTTACTTACTCCCTGAAATCTCTCTAGACATATATTAAGAGCACACCGTTCTTCCTTCACTTCACCCAAGTCCACTAGCTGACTTGACCATCAGAGGTATCACGGGGGAAATAAGCCCCGCACTCCCACAATTCTTATGTGTGCAGGTGATCCACCCACCCCGAGCTCTAAGAACCAGGCATAAAGTCGAAGAAGGAAAGCGGCCCCCTCTCGAAAGTTCAACCTCTCGACGATCCAGCAACTCTACGACTTCTACTGACTATGTGATATCAAACATCAATAGTTTGGCGCCCACCGTGGGGCTACTTTCCTCTTTTTTGAGAAAAAATGACAGGTTCTGAGCAAGGAGTGGACCAATCCCCACCGGGGCCACCTCCTCCAAATTATGTAACCCAGGGTCAACTGGAGCAGACGGTGGATATGCTCTCTTCATCTCTGAAAGAGTAGTTTGCCGCCCTGACCAATGAGCTTCTCTGGCGAATTCCACGACAGTCACGCGCCGATGAACAACCCCCACCATCTGGGGATCAACGACCAGGAACTCATCCCCATGAAGCGCCATGGAACACACCACGACCTCCTCCCAACCACCATAAGCAGGCGGAGGACTGCCCCAAACAACTAAACAATGGCGATAAAAGTCCCGGTCCTAGCCATTCAGGAGGACGTACCAAAAGGAGCGGACTTCAGAAAACCACACCATCACAACTCCCCAACCTCATCGACCACTGCAGGAGTCTCCGGCTACGATCGAGGATATAAACCGATTGTTGATGCTACCGATGGAAATACCCCATTGTCTGACAAGATAATGGAATATCCATTTGAGAAATTCAAGATGCCTCACCTAGAGACGTATTCCGGCAAGGGAGATCCTTCGGAGCATGTTCAAAATTATTTTGATATAATGAGTATGCTCCAAGTATCTGAAGCAGTTCTATGTCGATGCTTCCCCATCACCCTTAAAGGAAATGCTAAGCTCTGGTGGAATGCACTGGAGAAGAGATCCATCGACAATTTTAAACAACTCAGCCGTAAGTTCAGTCATTATTTTCTGGCAGACACAAAACAGAAGCTCCCTCCTCACGTGTTGATCCAAATGAGGCAAAGACCAAGCGAAAGCCTCCGAGCCTACTTCAAGAGATTTTAAGCGAAGAGGTTGGAAGTCAACGACCCTGGAAGCGCAGTTACCATGTCAGCACTTGTGGCGGGTCTTCAGGACAATGAGTTGGTAGACTCCATTACCAAAAAGCTAGTCGCCAACTATGAACAACTAATGTCCAAAGCCCACAAATACATGGATATGGAAGATGCCCGGGCTTACAATGCTTCAGCAAGAAGAATGGGGACTTCGGATGCCGCCAATCCGACCCTAACAGCTGTGGTTTCTCCTTCAAACCCCCAGTGACTATGCCGACCCAGGACCATCAGAAGCCAGAATGGTGCAAGGATCCTCTAAGGGTCAACCCCCACACTAATCGACCTGACAGAAGGGATCAGCCAAGAAACCCGACCCCAAAGGAGTCTTTGCCTATCTTCGACATTTCTCTCACTAACGCCTTAGCCGTGGCCCAGAAAGAGGGATACCTCAAAGATCCCACACCCAAGATGGTATCGGACCCCAGAAGAAGGGATACGAGGCAATTTTGTCGTTATCACCAAGACCATGGATATCTCACTAATGATTGTCGAATCCTAAAGAGGGATATAGAAGATCTGATCACGAGAGGATACTTGAAGAATCTCGTGCCTCTGGGAGGGCGCAAGAACACTGCTCTAACCCAAAAGGATAGAAGATCCCGTTCTCGGTCACCTCAACCCCGGCCTCTAGTAAGTGAACAACCAGTGGATACTACCTATAAGGGAGTCATCAATGTAATCAGTGGGGGCCCGACCATTGGAGGGTCATCCAATAACGAGCGGAAGAAATATGCCAGAAGAATGCTGCAAGTTGATCACGATCCTAAGAAGACAATGATAGGAGAGCTTGTGTCCTTTAGTGATGAAGACCTACGGGGCGTCGAAACACCCCATGATGATCCTCTCGTCATCACCGCGACCATTAACGGATATCAAGTAAAGCGGATTATGGTCAACACAGGAAGCTCGGTAGATGTCCTATACACTAGCGCCTTTGATCAGATAGGAATCCACAGATCCCACCTGCAGCCTTGCAGAGCACCTCTTATAGGCTTCACTGGCCATTCCCTTCTCCCTGAAGGAATGATAACTCTACCAATGACACTAGGAGCTCCTCCTAAACAAGTCATAGCTCAAATTCAATTCCTGGTGATAGATTTGAAGTCGGCCCATAACATCATATTGGGTCGAACCACTCTTCACTCCTTGCGGTTCATCGCTTCGACCTACCACCAGATTCTCAAATTTCCAACTCCAAATGGAGTTGGAGTCACCAGGAGCAGCTAGAAAGAGGCCAGGTCTTGTTATCTGTTTTCAGTCAAGGGAAAGGGTGCACAAGGCACCATGTCCATTGAAAAAGCATGTTTCCAAATGGAAAAAGCAGTTGAGAAGCCAAGGACGGAGCCGGTAGAAGAACTCTAAGAAATCCCCATCGACTCGGCTGGAATGAAGGCTATCAAGGTAGGATCCGGTTTGGTCGAACCTTTGAGAGGAACTATGATCAAGTTCTTAAAAGCTAACACAGATGCATTTGCTTGGGAACCTGCTGACATGCCCGGTATTCGTCGTGAAGTCATAAGCCATGAGTTGGCCGTGGACAAACATGTCAAGCCAGTCCACCAGAGGAAGAGACATCTTGGTCCAGAGTGCCAGAAGGCGGCAGCAGAGGAAGTAAAGCGGCTTCTACGAGCTAACCTTATTCGAGAAGTCTAGTATCCAGAATGACTGGCCAATATCATCCTAGTGAAGAAAGCATTGGGCAAGTGGAGGATGTATGTAGATTTCACTGACCTCAATAAAGCCTGTCCCAAGGATAGCTACCCCCTAACCCGGATTGACCAGCTAGTTAACGAGAGTGCCTGACATGAACTACTCAGTTTCATGGATGCTTTCTCAGGCTATAATCAAATATTCATGGCAAGACATGATCAAGAGAAGACTTCATTCATCACCGATATGGGTACATATTGCTACAAAATGATGCCGTTCGGGTTGAAAAACGTTAGAGCCACCTATCAGAGGCTCGTAGCCAAAGTCTTCTAGCACCAAATCGGCAGGAATCTCGAAGCCTATGTGGATGACTTGTTAGTAAAATCCAAACAAGCATCCGCCCATATTTTCGATTTGGACGAGACTTTTTCAAGTCTGAGGCGCTACCAGATGAAGCTCAATCCTGCCAAGTGTGCCTTCGGAGTACAATCAGGAAAGTTCATAAGGTTCATGGTTACCCAAAGAGGAATTGAAATTAATCCTGAGAAAATTACTGCCAGAGAGTGATTACCTGAACCCCGTACACTGAGGGAGATTCAAAAATTAAACGGAAAGGTTGCAGTCCTGGGACGATTCCTGTCTAAATCTGCAGAGAGAAACCTCCCTTTCTTCAAAGTCCTAAGAGGGAACAGGAACCCGAGAGAAGGTGTAACTTGGACAGCGGAATGCAAAGCAGCATTCCAGGATCTCAAAGCCTACCTAAGCACTAAGTCGTTGTTAAGCCAACCTATGAAGGGGGAGACTTTGTTAGTGCACATAGCCATTTCCTTCGAAGTGGTGAGCTCCATCCTCGTTTGAGAGGAAGAAAACATCTAGAAGCCTGTCTATTATGTGAGCTGAATCCTTCGAGCCGACGAGCTCAACCTTTTATAGAAAACGTTGCATTCGCTTTCACCTTTACGGCTAGAAGTCTCTGCCCCTATTTCCAAGCTCACGCCATTATTGTCAGGACGAGCCTTCCTTTGAAGAAAGCTTTGGGCAGCCCTACAACATCAGGGAGGATGATCACTTGGGCAGTCGAGATCGGTGAACATGACATCCAGTTCGAGCCTCGGACGACCATCAAAGCTTAAGCTTTGGCAGACTTCTTGATCGAGTCAACTCCCCAAAATAATGAATCAAGCGAAGAATTGCAAACCTCGCTGCCTTTACCGCCGGGGCAACAGATAGTCCCACTGGCTCATTGCATATTAGAGCATGATTCGCCAAAGTATACCTCTTGGTGGAAATTGCAAGTAGATGGATCTTCGGGGGAAACTGGCAGTGGAGCAGGAGTGGTCCTACGAAGCCCTGAGAGGAAAACATATGAACATTCCATCTCATTCAAATTCTCAAACTCAAACAATGAAACCGAGTATGAGGCTATACTTGTCGGCCTCCGAGCAGCTAAGTCTTTGAAAGCCGAAAGCCTTTATATCCTAGCCGACTCATAGCTGATAGTTCACCAGATCAACGGACGCTATGCCGCCAAGGACCCAAGGATGGCCCTATACCTCAAAGCTGCCAAAGAGCTTTTGTCAAACTTTCAAAAGTCCAAGGTAGTCCAAGTCCCCTGGGCCCTCAATACTCGAGCGAACGCTCTCTCCAAGCTAGGATCGACAAGTTCAAGAAGGAGCTCCGGACCTATCTATATGGATATGTTGGAACATCCCAGCATTTCCAAACCATTAAAAAAGGTCATGGAAATAGAAAACCCCACACCTCCATGTTGGATAGATCCCATCCTCCTCTACTTAACTTAAGGTGTTTTACATGAGGATCAGCTCGAAGCCAAGCATTTTCTAAGAAATTCCCATCGCTATCTCGTGATAGAGGAACAACTCTACCGAGTGTCTTATATTGGCAGCAGCATAGTACCTTACTTGCGATGTCTGCGGCCACCGGAAGCCCTCTATGTACTAAGAGAAATCCACAAGGGTATATGTAGGAACCACCCAGGAGCTCGAACCCTAGCTCAAAAAATTATCCGGCAGGGTTATTATTGGCCGACTATCTTAGCCGAGTCGACTAAGCTCGTGTCTCATTGTCAAAAGTACTAATATTTCTCATCCATTCCCAGGGTAGCCGCGACCGAGTTAACCCCCATATTGAGCCCTGTACCCTTCGTTCAATGGGGCTTGGATCTATTAGGGCCCCTCCCTTTAGCCTCAGGGCAAATGAAGTTTCTCATTGTAGCAATCGACTACTTTACTAAGTGGATCCAGGCCGAACCATTGGTCAAGGTGGTGAGAGCAATATCACCAACTTATCACCGACAATGGCACTCAATTTGATAGCAAGGGTTTCCGTGACTTCTGTGAGGAATACAACATTCACCTCAAATTCGTCTCGGTAGCACACCCTAAATCAAATGGCCTTGCAGAGGCAGCCAACAAGTGCGTCCTCCAAGCACTAAAGAAGAAGGTGGACACTGTCGTAGGACGTTGGGTCAAAGAATTGCCAAGCATCCTATGGTCGTACTGAACTACCCATAGGAATTCAACCGGGGAGACTCCCTTTAAGTTAACATATGGGGCCGAAGCTGTCATGCCAGTTGAAGTGGGCATGCCGACTATTCGACTGTGACACTTTGATGAAGACCTGAACTCAATAGGCCTTTGAGTCGGCCTTGACCTTCTGGAAGAAGCAAGGGAGAAAGCACTCCGTACTCAGGTCATTAATCAGCAGCGGATCGCTCGACATTACAACGGGAAGATTCATCCAAGAAGATTCACAGCTGGGGACCTTGTCCTTCGCAAAGCAACCTTCGATAAAGATACTCGGTAAGGCAAGCTGGCTCCTAATTGGGAAGGACCCTACACGGTTATGGATGAGCTCAGAGCCAGCACCTATCAGTTGAGAGCCCTAGATGGACTAATCCTCAGTCACCCATGGAACATTGAACACCTACGATGGTATTTCCTTTAAGATTCCAATTTAATCTTTTGAATTTTAAAAATTCTCTATGCAGAATGCATGCCTTAGATAATTGATAATATATTTTGATGAAAAGGCTTTAGCCAAACTTTTATGTCACCATAATGACTGGAAAATGGAAGACCTAGTCACCTAGGCACTCGACTTCTCAGTCGATAAAAAAGACCTTGGTATCTTCTCAGGGTAAAACTAAGGCACAACCCTTTGGCCGACTCCCAAAGTCGCCTCTCGGCCTTAGGGGGAAAATGGAAGACCCTGTCACCTAGGCACTCGACTCCTCAGTCGATAAAAAGTCATCGGTACCTTCTCAGGGTAAAACCAAGGCACAACCCTTTGGCCGACTCCCACAGTCGCCTCTCGGCCTTAGGGGAAAATGGAAGACCTAGTCACCTAGGCACTCGACTCCTCAGTCGATTAAAAGATCTTGGTACCTTCTTAGGATAAAACCAAGGCACAACCCTTTGGCCGACTCTCACAGTCGCCTCTCGGTCCTAGGGAAAAATTGAAGACCTAGTCACCTAGGCACTCGACTCCTCAGTCGATAAAAAGACATTGGTACCTTTTTAGGGTAAAACCAAGACACAACCCTTTGGACGACTCCCACAGTTGCCTCTCGGTCCTAAGGGGAAATGGAAGACCTAGTCACCTAGGCACTCGACTCCTCAGTCGATAAAAAATCATCGATACCTTCTCAGGGTAAAACCAAGGCACAACTCTTTGGCCGACTCCCATAGTCGCCTCTTGGCCTTTGGGGAAATGTAAGACCTAGTTGACTCTCTCGAGCCTAGGCACTAAACTTCAAAGTCAACTCCTGTACTACCTCTCAATCAACAAGAATAAGAAAAATTCAAGAGTTTGAAACACTCAAAACGAATTTATTTCTCCATTAACTTATTATTTAAGAAGTCAAAAGTACCAATTACAAGTACTAGTAAAAAAAAGGGAGAAACGTAACTAGTTCTTATTTTTCTTGATCCACGAGGGCATTTGGAGGCAAAACAACCGCATCAACAGATGCCGGAGCCTCTTGGTCTAGAGTGTCAGCATCAGCGGAACACTCAGTCATCACAGGGGATTCAGTCCCCCCTTCCGTCAGCGGAACGACAGCTGCTAGTTCCTCACCCGCGCCCTCTGAAGACTCGCCTTCATCACCTAACGGCAATCTCCCTTCTCTTGCCTTGAAATCCATAAGAAGATCAAGACAGCAAGAGACTTGCAAGGGATAAAAACTCCTAAGAGGAGGATGTGAGCTAGAGGGTACTAAAGCGGCGAAGTAATCAACCCCAGCTTTGCATGTCAAGGCTACCTCAAGTTTTCCAATGGGGGCTATGGCGCCAATCTTCAACTACCTTCGCCCTATGCTACGTCGATTGCTCTTCCTCGAGATCCCGCCTCAGCTGCTCGATTGAAAGGCGACTCGATTGAACGACTTCCTCGGCGGCTACTCAAAGTGCCCTCTCAGAGTCAACCTCCTCGTCCAGAGTAGTCAGCTTCTCGTCCCGATCAATGACGTCTTGTTGAAGACGATTGATCTCCCTCCTTTGACGAGCTACTTCACCTCTCAATTCCATTATTATGGATGCTTGCTTACACCCCTCGGT